AGACACGGTGGACGGCCTCTGGTCAATATCACAAAAGCAATGGAGGGCCTCAGTTTGATAATGCACAAATGACGGACTGCTGCCAACACAACATTCTCGAAGGGGAACCTGGGAGCTTCCTGGTGACGTCTCAGATGAGATGTAGCCCTCGCTGACACAGCAGTGCTGCCGGTGACTGCAGAGCCGACCCCTCCTGAGCCGCCGAGACTCAGAAAATAAATGTGTGTTGTTTTAAGCCTCGAAAGTGTGGTAATTATTTTTATATCGTGAAAGCTAACTAACACACCCATTGCATCAGTACATGTACACATACGAATCAGAGTTCTTTGAAGAAGTTAACTTTCAAAAGATAAATTTTCCCTCTAGATGAAATCATTCAACATGCACATGGTATAAAGCCGGTGAGTGGGTGAAGCTGGCCAGCACTTGCAGATCGCCTGCTCTGCTATCTACCATGCAGGAAACCATTTACCTGTTATACTGAAAGAGGAATCTCAGTCAGGAGGAGGCAAGGAAAACAAAGTAAGAAAATTATGCTCTTCCTTGGGTTGGGCACAATTCCTAAATTTCTTGCATAGAAACAAACCAACCAACCCTTCCACAGCTAATGAAAAGAAACAAAACATTTTACTTCAACATTTGACTTCTCTTTAATTCTCCTAAGGCATCATAAGAATAACGTTTGCCAAGTATCTCTTAAAACTCCTAACACCAAACCAAACTCACTGCCATCCAGTCCATGCCGACTCACGGCGACCCCACAGGGCACCCTGGAGCTGCCCCGGTAGGTTTCTGAGACTGTAACGGTACATGGAGGAGGAAGCCCTGTCTTTCTCCCGAGGAGCAGCTGGCAGCTTTAAACTGAAGACCTTAGAGATGGCAGTTGAACGTGTATCCACAATGCCACCAGGGCTCCTATCTTAAAACTGAGAGTAAAAATCACTTTAAGATTCAAAGACTGTACAAGGCAAACGAATGCCCCGTGTCAGCCTTGGGAATAAAGGAAACAAAAGCAAAGGCAGCAGACTCTTCCCCAGGGCTCAGGTGTTTCCTAAGAACCACAGCCGCTTTGAACCCATGGTCAGGAATACTGCAAGGTTCCTGGCTACCCTGCCCACCGTGCTGACCAAACACACACCACAGAGGGTCCCAGTTAGAGTAGACGAAAAATACAGAGCCAAACTCGACTTCATAGAAAAGACCAGACTGACTGCACTGATGGAGCACCCTTGAGATGCTCACCCTAGACTGTCACCTGGAGCCGAAGCCATTGCTGAAGGTCACTTTCAGTCCAATAAATAGTTAGGCCTGGAAAACAAACAGTGACCCCACTAAAGAATGTTCTCTTTTAAACAACCAACCATACGAGACCATGTGGTCAATATTTATCCAGAAGCAAAGAGGAGACAACAGGCCAAGTGAGGACAGCGGGAGGATGGAAGCCTACCCCCTCGCCTGGAGCAATCTGCCTGTGAACTGTTTCTTGGGCATCTGACTTACTACACACACTTTCACCGAGAACACAATGCAGTTTTCAAGCAGAGCAGCAGCAACAAGATCGAAGGGACACAATCTGTGTTGGGATATACTCAGAGTGAACATCAAAGACGCGCTGAGAGACTGTCACCTGCTGAGAGGAACTATCTATTCCATGGAACATATATGAGCAAAGGCATATTTCACCCCCTCAAACTTCACCGATGAAGATGCCTGCCAATAAGGCTTGGAAAAAATCCCAGCACAGGGGAAAATTTCACATTTTGTTATTGGAATCGGCTTGACAGCAGTGTATTTGGAATGAGTCAAAACGCTTGCCATAAGCCAGGCTGTAAAGATGCAAGCTTTTTTGTTTGTTTTTACTTTTTATTATGATTTGAGTGAAAGTTTAAACAACAAATCAGCTTTCCACTCACCAATTCAAATAGGTTTTTTTCCATTCCATTGAATGAAATACCCAAAATGCAAAAGCACTTACCGTATATACTCGAGTATAAGCCGACCCAAATATCAGCCAAGGCATCTAATTTTACCATAAAAACTGCATAAGAAATGGACTGAAAAAGTCAGCTTATACTCAAGTATATATGGTATCTAACCTTATGGGGCTGAGTTTAGTTCTAAACTTGAAGGGCTATGAAGGGAGTTCCACTAGTCTCTGTCTTGCTTCTGAGCCTTATTGGGTTTATATTTTTCTCCCAATCCATCAAAAGGCTTTCACTGTGATCCCTTTTGGAGTAGTCAGTAGTGGTAGCACCATCTGTTTCTTCTATTTTCATGGCCTGGTAGGTTCACATGGTCCATTAGTCTTTGGGATTATTCCCACAGGCCTTTGATTTTCTTTACTCTTCTTTTCCCTGGATGGGAAGAGACTAAGAGTGGTACTGTGGATGGTCCCTCACAAGCTTTCAAATGCTACTCACCAAGGGATGATGTTCACTCTGACTTTGGTGTGGTAGATATATAATCGTTGGTCAATTTGAGGATTGAGAGTGTAGGGGTGGAGTCTAGCTTGTCAATAAAATCATAACCAATGAGGTCTCTGTGTGGGCATGGCCTTCTCCTGAGAATTCTGGGAAATCCGGTACTTCCTCCTTGGAGGTGGCAGACACTTCTTTCTCTCTCTGCCACTCCCTGGAGACATTGTAGCTGATGAGAAACATGTAACTAAGCTAGTGCCTTAAGTTAGAGAAGCCAAATGGATCTACCCTGATGCAACCAGACCTCTGAAGCCGGAGAAGCCACAGAGAGACCCCTGCCAGTGCTAAGATGATTACAAAGTCACTGGATCCAAAGACTTTCTACCCACCAGCCTGTGATCGTCCTGCATTCGGCATCATTGCATGTGTTTCCTGAGTCTGAAGAGGACTTTATAGATTGGTATCGGACATATGGGCTAGTGTTGGACTTAAGGACTTGGACTGGATTGGGTTGGGATGCTTTCTCAATGTTCAATTCTTCTTGTATATAAACCTCTTCCTTATACACATATGTGTGTCATGGATTTGTTTCTCTAGTCTACCCAGACTAACACATTTAGTGTGTAGTTACCAGGGTCTCAAAAATCTAAAGCACAACTTTTGGTCTCTCCCTATGTGAAAGAAAGAATGGTGATTAAAAAAAAAAGAGAAAATCCTTGGAAACCATTAGTTTAACAGATTAACGGACCACAGGTATAAGAACTATATGATACCTGGCTACCACAGCTAAATGCTCTGAAAGGGTCTTGGTTAGAGTGGGAGAAAAAATGCACAGTAAAACTTAAAATCATGAAAGAAACCAGCCTTACTAGTCAGATACATACTGGTGGAACCCCTGATACTGTTGTCTTTGTCACCCTTCAGGTCAGGAACTGAACTCACCCCCATGGCTCCGTTTCCAGTCAAACCAGAGAGGGGTCTGTAAAGGGAACAATACTAGTAGTGGATTCTACACACCTGAATCAACCCTTTGAGATCCACAGGGCAGCACTGAAGGACAGAGCTCAGACGGGTTAAGAGGAAGAAGAACGGACACAGGAGTCACAGGAGGAAACAGGATATGGATGTTACATTGAGGGCACTGCAACGAAGGAGATGAAACTAAATGTGAATGAACTGCAGGATGTGAAACTGACGATGTGCTCTGTGAACATTCATCCAGTTTACAGTTAAAAATAAATTAAAAAACAACAAAAACAATATGTATGACATTTTCTTTGTGGACTGTGTTGTGCTGCGTAGCCCCTAGATCCAGTGACTCATTCTTTCAGGATAAAGGCCATACTCTTTTAAATAGCAATGTAAATAGAGAATCAGATACCCGATTACCCAGTTAGAAATCTATAGACACTGAGAAATGGAAGATTATCTGAGAACAGGGCATTTACTTTAAATAGGCAATTTTCTGTAGATTTACTTTTCTCTGGGAAGAACATGCATACCCCAGATCTGAGTAGCCGCTAGAATCTAGGATGGGGGCGCATTTGGGGTGGGCAGGCAGAGGGGACGAATACATATCAGCAGATGGCTACACTTGCCCACAATCGATGTGATGTGAATTTCTATGTCCTTAGTTCTATTAGAGGATCTGGGTGGTCTACTGGTTTCTCACTGGGCTGCTAAACCTACGGTCAGCAGTTCTAAACCACAGCCACTCCACTGGAGAAAGATAAGGCTTTCTATTCCTGTAAAGAGTTACAGTCTCGATGAACCCTACAGGACCAGTGATGTGAGTGGCGAAACAGGGAGGGTAAAGGGAGAATGGGTAGGAAAGAGGGAACCGATTACAAGGAACTGTGTGTGACCTCCTCCCTGGGGGACAGACAACCGAAAAGTGGGTGAAGGGAGACGTCGGACAGGGAAGATATGACAAAATACCAATTTATAAAATATCAAGGGCTCATGAGGGAGGGGGGAGTGGGGAGGGAGGGGAAAAATGAGGACCTGATGTCGGGGGTTTAAGTGGAGAGAGAATGTTTTGAGAATGATGTAAAAATGTGCTTTACACAATTGATGTGTGTATGGATTGCGATAACAGTTGTATGAGCCCCTAATGAAATGTTTAAAAAAATAAAAAAAGAGTTACAGTCTCGTACCCGTAGAGACAGTTCCAACTTGTCCTATAGGGTCACTATGGGTTGCTGTGAGGCTCTATGATTTGGAAAGGACTCAATGGCAGTGAGTTGATTTTTCTGGTATTAGCCAAATAGAATGTTCAATGTCAATAGGAAGCATGCAAGCCCATAGAGTAGATAGGATTTCACTCTTAGGTGCCAAAAAGATTTTGTTTCGTACTTTATATACACTATGCTTAACTGGAAAGGTTATAAAGAGGAATGCATTTACAGACAACTTCCTATACTTACTATTTGATTCCACTTATTCTCAGAGAAGAGAGAATTATGCATCGACCTCACAGAGTTTTTAATATCTCATTTGAATGTGCTCTGTAACAAGGTTAGGGTGAGTAAAAAGCAACTGCTACTTCTTATTCCCTCCCTGCCACTGCCCTCAATTACTTACATCTCTGTATCCGTCTGCCACATTCCCAGAAATGTCTCCTGCTACGTCTCTACAGCCAGCGGGGCAGAATATGCTGGGGAAAGAAGACCAAAAAATAAGTGTATTTTATTAAATTAAATGCAACTAAGTATTAAATCATACTTAATAAAATTTGTTTTCTCCCCATAGATCATGTCATCAAATCTTGCTTTAGTGATAAGTCAGAAACTTGATTCATGAAAAGACAGATTGGTCTAAAATGATGTGAGGGGCTTCAGAAAATTTGTGGAAAAAGGAATTTAAAAATATTACTTTGAAGGCAAGTCGTACACAATGATTTGTTTTATATAATGATTCACCATAGAGTCCATTAAACAAAGAACCTCCCAAACGCA